TTTTTTTTTTTTTTTTGCTCAAGGCATTTAGTGTCAGTTTCTGTCACTTGTTGCCAAAACAATCCTGACTAAGCTGATATAGGGGACTGTGCAACCATTTCCATGATGCTGGCGAGGACAGGACATTTTGGGGACTCCTTTCTCCAACAGTCTCTGGACCACATAAGGAAAGTGGCCGTCAGACCAGCCCAGGGTTTCAGTTCCTTGGTAAAATGAGGCAGAAAACAAATCATTGATGCCATCTATTGTCTAGTCAAAATCAGCATCTACCAGACTTGGCACTGAACCACTTGGGGCTCTTTCCAAAATTTAGTTCCACCCGTGAGGATTTGCTACCAAGGAACACATCAAAACAACACTCAGAGGCTTGGAAGGCAGGTGGGAGAAGAGTGTTCCAAGCATGTTCTGAGCAGGCAACCCTGGCAGGCACTACCAGAGAGCGTCCAGCCTGCCCAGGGGAATTCTTTTAACTGGACACACTGAAAATCATCATAACGTATCTCAATGAGGAATGTTCTTGGTACAAAATTCAAGAGCTACAAAAAGGCATAAAATGAAAAGTAAGTCTCCCTCTGAGTTTTTTCCCTTTTCATTGAGGTAACATTCATTTTCAATACTGTACAAGTTGCAAGTATACAGTTTCTCACCTCAGAAACTATATATTTCACATCTCCACCATCAAATGTTCAATTACTAACCACCACCAAGCTATTCTTTCCCTCCTTTCCCCCTTCTTGTCATCAGGTTTTTGTCATTTTTTTTTCAGAAATGAGGGAAATTACACAATATTTGTCTTTCTCTTTTTGACTCATGTTACTTAGTAAAGTCCCTCAAGTTTCGTCCACGTTGTCAAAAATGGCAAGATTTTGTCCTTTTCGTGGCTATGTAGTATTCCATTTCAGATATATATGGTATTTTCTTTATCCTTCATCTGTTGCTGGACACTTAGACGATTCCATATCTTGGCTATTACAAATAGTGCTGCAATGAAATAGGGGTACTTATATCCTTTCAAAATAGTGTTTTCACATTCTATGGGGAAACAGGCAGAATTAGGATTTTTGGATCATATGGTAGCTGTTTTTACAATTTTGAGGAACCACCGTACAGTTTTCCAAAGAGCCTGCACCAATGTACATCCCCACCAACAATGCATATCTGTCCCACACTTGACACCCCACCATTCCAAATCCTTCTGCAGACACAACCAGTTTTCAGTGATGGTGGTTGCTTTTGCCTCCTCCAGGGATACTATCTTCACCTAAGCACATTTTTATGTATGAATTTCCCCCCACTTTAATAGTTTACACACTTTTCTGAATCAAGCTTTATTTCAAGGAACATAAATCTTACAAATTGTTCCACTTATGTACATTGACAGCTAAATTGTTTCTTTGTGTATGTATAGTAAAATACACAAAACATAAAATTTACCATTTTAACCATTTTTAGTGTGCAAATAGCACCACTAGCCATTGCCAAAAGTTTTTCATCTTCTCAAATTGCTACTTTACAACTATTAAACAATTGTCCTTTCTCTTCTCCCTGGCCTCAGTTACTACCACCCTATTTTCTGTCTCTGTGAATTCCACTGTCATAAATATCTACCTCATTTAAGTGGAATCTTCCAATATTTGTGCCTGGCTTATTTCATGTAGCATTATGTCTAATAGTACATTCATGTCGTAACTTATGTCTGACTTTACTTTTTTACAGCTAAGTAATATTCCATTAGAAGCATGAGCAGCATTTTGTTTATGCATCCATTCATTGATGTTTCTACCCTTTGGTTACTGTGAATAACATTTTGATGATCTGTGGTGTACAAATATCCAAATCTACCCAATTCCTGTGCTCAATTATTTTGTGTATATATTCATAATAGGAATTACTAGATTAGATGTTAGCTCTATGTTTTATTTTTTGAGGAACTGTCTCCACAGGGGCAACACCATTTTATATTTCTACCAGTTCACATCCTTTTATCCTAACGTGTATGAAAGGTATGTTGTTGTATATTCCCTAATGACTAGTTTTGATGTGTATTTCCCTAATGACTAGCTATTTTGAACATCTTTTCTTATGCTTATTAGCTAGCCATTTGTATATATTCTTTGGTTAAAGGTCTACTCAAGTCTTTTGCCCATTTTTGTTTTTTTTTTTAATAAAGACTTATTTATATATGCATATAAAAACTGGGCTATAGGCCAGAGGTGCAGGGGAGTGGGTGTGGCTGTAGTGAGAGGATTCACCAGAGACAGACTGGGGAGCAGATCAGGCAGATCTACTGAAATAGACTGCTGAGGGGAGCAGCAGGCGAGACAGTAGAAGCCTGCTGCACCATGTAG